ATTGCGCATCCCGTTGCAGCAGGCCGGAGGGACGGTGTTCTGGTCGCCTTTGCCTTCCGCGTAGCTCAGGCACGGCCCGGCTTTGCTCCTCACGTCGTTGCATCCGACCACGGCGGCGTCGGATCTGGTGGCGGGGTGGCTGATCATCACAAGGACAAGGAGGGAGGAAACTGCGATGATATTGACCATCATCATCGTAAGCTTGGCGGAAGAGTTCATTGCGGTTTTTTAAGTCTCTTTTTTCCTCGATCTCTTTTGGGTACTTTGCTTACGAAATGAAGCTCTTCTTCCCTTTGGTTTGATTGATTTGGTGTTGTGTTGGCCTTTGGGTCTCTAGATTTATAGTAAAAAAAATGGAATGGAGTTCCAATTTGGTAAGTTGGAATTTCTATGAGATTACTAGTTTTGTTTTTTTTTTTTTCTTTTTTGGCCTGAGTTGCTAGTGTTTGAGACTTAACTATGTGTACTTTCATTTTTGGTTTACTCTTGATAAATGTCAAATTGCAGAACAAAAGGGGGGACTATGAGTTTGATGTATGTTTCACAAGTGGGGAGGAAAAAGAAACAGGAATAATTGTCGGCTCAAACAAAAACGATGGTAAACAATTACCAGCAAATACAAAAGCAAATGTGGCTACATAGAAAATGCGCTTAGTTGTCCCATATGGCAAAGATTAGTGTCATCCTCCTAAAGTATATAGTATATCTATGTATTTGAAGTTCTTAAGAGCGTGTTTGGATAGGTTTATTTAAAATATATGTATTTGAAATACTAACATTTGAACTACATGTAATTCAAATTTGTTGTTTGGATTTTTATTTGTAGTTTGTTTGTATTTTAACTTTTATAAATTTTTAATATAATTTTGAATTTTCTGATCACTTACTACGAATTTTGATAAATTACAGTTTGGTACCCAAATTTATTTATTCTTACTCCACCCGTCAAACTTACCAAGCCGGTTTTTTCAAAGCTCAGGCTAACAAAAAGTTTAGATCTAAGCTTATTTCACCATCATTTCATTTCAATCATACCTACAAGTATACAATATCATTCAATTGATCAGTCCCTCCACCTTAATCAGCTTGAACTTCCTGCCCAAAGTCATAACATTCCTCCAGAATCAAATGACATAATCAGATCTTTTAATGAACTCGCTAATGTTCATTCGATCAACATGATCGCTCAGACTATCCAAAGTCGTGCTTATAGTTCCTTGCGCTATTTTCAACATGACTGCTACAACAACCGCATAAACCCTTCTCACTAAGGAATTGAGACCTTGGTAATTCTGTTTCTCAATCCTCTACTTGCCAGATACGAAGATACCCAATTTCATCTGTTGAAGGATATCAGTTTAGCAAAGGAGTAGAGTGGTAGATAGTGAGAATCATTTACCGAGTTATTGACTCGCCGAAATCCAACGATTTGTAGTTGTCATCAGTCGTCTCACTTCGTACAACTTTCTATTTGTTCTGGCGAGACGAATCCGGAAGACGAAACGTTGTGGCTTGTGGGTTCTGAAGAAGCGTTGTAGCCTGTGGGTTCTGAAGTCAAATGTGATACTTTTCATTACTTAATTCCCTTTTTATCAACTACAACCTCTCATCCATTTTGCTATATTTTGATCAAAGAAAAATGAACTCTTCAAAACACGTGTCGGTTATAGTATTATCACTGTCATATCAACTTATATGATATTGATATAAATGACATAGAACTTATATGAAATGATATGAACTTATATGAGCTAATATGATCTTGATATGAATGAAATAGAAGATAACTGATACAATCTTGATATGAATAACATAAACTTGATCAGATATGACCTGGAAAAAAATTTCTCCAAAAATTATCAAAATGGATATCATCTTGTAAAGCACAAAAATCTTATTTTTCTACTAAATGTTTTTTCTGAATCCGACATAAAATGAATGCGCCATGGTCCATTGAATTTTAGTAAGAGAATTTAAAAGTGACGAAGAATTCGCGCAGTCCACTACAAAATCCGGACATACCTCATTTTTCCTCTCCACCTCTTTATAAAAATGATTATTAAATATCTCATTCCCAAATTATAACCATTAGATCTAATTTTATAGTACTACAAAAATAAATGAGTTTTGTACCCTACCCCTGACCTTAATTGCACTTATTTTGAGAAATACATGAGACCATTTAAGTCATTGATGACCAAGCATGCATTATCCTACCTGTTTATGAACAAATCAAAAGTAAATTACATTTTTTTGGGCAAATATCACTACAACAACCGAATTATTAAATAAATGCCACTTGTGTGCTAATATATGAAATATTTTATTCATGTACTCAACTATGATAATCTGCGTCATTTATATCCTGGCGGTTTCGTTGACTGTTAGATATAACAATTGACCAGATGATTTTAAAAACGACGTCAGATTGGGGCCGACGTGGCATAAGTTGGAGGTCCTGTGTTTGAGGGCCGTCAATTAGCATTTTGAGGATGACATGTATAATTTGTTTAGAGAAATTTGGATTGATGTGGTTGTAGTATAATTTTATCAGTATTTTTTTCATTTCTGGTAAACTAATGATACATTAATATCATGCAAGGTACAAATCAGTTATTTCTCGTTACATTTTGATCGTCAACTAATATAATTTTCTGACAACCGAACACGCCTGCCATTTGCCATATGTTCAAAATGGGACAGGTTACGGTGGTAATTGTAAAATAGTTAGCACCGTTCTAACCATTGGAAAAACTACTACTAGTTTGAATTAGTAGTGATTTAGTTTAGATGTTGTATTGATTTTATAATAATCCGTAGTGATTTCGTTATTTTTAGTAGCGTTTTTTGCTAGTTATCACGATGCTAACCCCTATAAGGGTTAGCACCTAATCCCATCCCGTTCAAAATCGAAGGACAAAATATGCCGCATTTGTTAATTAAAAAACGCATTTGCAAAAAATTAATATGTAAATATGACGTAATCAAATTACGTTATTTTGTAAACCCCACCAGGTTTAGTATATATATAATCTAATATGATTCTTGTCATCAAATTAATTAGCATCATTTTTTAATTAATATTTACACCCACACATACTAACTTGAATTAAAAGAGTTAAGAAGCATCCCACCACCGCGGTTTAAGTGGAAAAAAAGGGTTAAGAAACATTTAATTGTAGTTGGGTTAGGGATGACTACAAAATCCGAACTCATGGGTACCCATCTAATCCAATCCGGTCAACGCGGGTAAAACCCGTGTTGACGGGTTTTGGGCCGGGTTTGGGTTTAAACTCGCTACACTATTTCCAGGTCGGGTTGGGTTTGGGTTTAGGTAAATCCACCCCGTGGGTACTTGCTCACACACATATAATTACTTTCCCGGTATATTTAATATTTTAAATAATATATCTACCTTAAACAACTAATATTCTTTATGTTTGTGGAGACATGTATAATTTTTTCTTTCTAATTGTTTAGAATGAAGTTGATATTATGAAGTGGAGAGTGAAAAAACTTAGTTGACGAGGAAGAAGCTTTCAATTAATCTTATTGTTTATAGATGTTTATCTTTAATTTTGAACAATTTGTATTGATCATTTGCAGTTTGCTTGTATGCTCTAGATTGGTGTTTTTGAATGATTAATTTGTATGAGAAAATTTATGTTAAACTTTTATTTTGAAAGAAACTTGTTATTATAATTTTTTTACAACAAAAACCCACGAGTACCCATGAACCCATCGGATACCCAGCGATTGGGTTGGGTTTGAGTTTTTCAAACCCAACGGGTTTTACCCAGGTTTTTTTTTTACGAATAAACCCATGAGTTTGGGTTTGACAAAACCCGCCCTAACCCGACCCATTGTCATCCTAGTTGGCATATATATAAGGTAGACTTATTAGTGTGTCTGCATTTTGGGGAGAGAGTAAATGGGGAGGGATTAATTAGGGGGTCTGCATATACGTATACAATCGCAGGAAGTTTCCCGTGTGGCGTACGTGTAGAGGACGGCGTAAATGGGTTGGCGGAGCGCGCACCTGGCGCGCAATCTCGTCCTTCGGCGCGTCATCTCTCTTTCCCTGTCACCTTCCGCCAGATTTTGGACTTCTTGTCCTTTTCTGGTCCGAATTTGGACCTAAATTCCAGCCCAAATGAAACTCTTGGACCTTTGGAATCACAATTAAGGGGTCGTTTGCTTGTTGGATTTGGGTCATGGATTTGGTACCCAAATCTCAAGTTTGATGGATTTAACATAAGTTCATTGTTTGTTGAAGGGTGCTAAATCCGTGGGGTCCACGGATTTGGTCTTTATTTTGGAACCAAATCCGTGGACCCCACGGACTTCTAAATCCCACATATTGATTTGGGATTTGCAAATCCTTGATGGTTAGTTATTTATTTAACAAATCCAACACAAATCCATCATCAAATCTATCATGCAAACATTAGACTCTTAAAAACCATAATCCAATAAATTCAACATAAATCCCAAGATTTTTATTGGCCAAAACCCTCATTTTTCAAATCCAACAAGCAAACGACCCCTAAGTGGATTTGGTTCAATTTTCTGGAATTTCAAAACCACAATATAGGTGGTATAAAGGACGCAGTTGCAGCAATATTTATAAGTGGCAGCAATCCTCTTGTTCTGCTTGTACTTTTCTTCCCATGCATCCCTATGTAAACAATCCACCTTCAGCTACAACTGTCCAGTTTGGAATTTCAGACTTTAGATAGTTTGGAATTTCAGACTTGTTTTAATTAATTTGTTCTTTCTTCTTTGGTTGCATTCATATACGGTACATTAGTTGACAAATATTCAAACAAGAAGAGGCATCAATATCACAGCTATACGATTTTTTGCATAGTGATCATCGCATGAGGGACTAATTCATTCTGTTACGTACGTTTACTGAACCATATATCATTAATTCGAGCTTTCCATCCATGACTATATAAAAGTCTACTCTGCCATCTCATCCGTCACACCATCATATCATGATGAACAACAAGCAGACATGGAACGTAGCCATGGCGGTCGTCGCGTTGTTCCTCACTGCAGTCGGCGACTGGAGCGGCCGTAGTAGTGGGGCCCATGCATCGTCCCTCAGCGACTGCCGCTACGTGCTGGACCATTCAAAGGCATGCAAGAACTACATCACCGGCAAGGAAGACGGCGTCACCGACGTCTGCTGCCACGGGCTGCGCAAGCTGGTCCGCAAGACGGCCGGCAACGTCGAGCAGCAGAAGGATGTGTGCAGCTGCTCCGCCAAAATTTTCGAGCGGTTGAAGGGCGTGCAAGAAGACAGGCTGGCCCTGCTCTCCTCGAATTGCAGAGCTAGGTTCCCTTTCACGCTCGCCAAGAGTCCCGACTGTGACAAGTAAGTATAAGGAATTATTTGATAAATTGTACGTCACATTATCAAATAATCGAAGATTATGCATATAGCCATATACTTAAATTAGTATTAATTAGTTATCTACGTACTGAAATTTATTACTTATTTTTTGGTTTTCAGCATAGGGAATTGAAGCGGGTGACCATCCTATGTTTGATCGTCGATCTGAGGAATAGATCGAGCTGGAGTATGATAGGAGTGAAGTTTCAGTTTTTTAGCCACCTTTTCTTGTGGCGGGTACTATATTTGGTTTTGAATTTCGTTGAAATGTTTTGTTTTGTAGCTGAAATTTAATTTTGTGTTCCGATGATATAACGATATGGTACTGTTTTCCGGCGAGGAAAACAGGTATAGTATTTTTCTACATCAAGCATTATATATGCGCATTAACATTGTGTGGCAATCAGAAACTAAAATTATCAGAACTCATTATTCTGTGGTGATGTTGGATCCATTGATCTAACGGAAAGTAGATCAGTTGTGGAAGAAGGGTATATATATCGATAGCAGTTTGGTGCATGTGGAATGGTTGGGAAGGGAGTAGAGAGGTACGGACTCCAAGGGCTGGAAATAATGAAGAAAGACAAAGAGATGTTAGAGATTATAAATCCTGGGGGCTGTTCTGTAATTGTACCTGTACATAATTCGGGTGATGGAGGTTTGGGTAGTAGGGTTAGCCGCACTTATATATAGTCGGGTAGAGACTAATTGTAGTTATCTTGAACTCTCTGTTGAATAAGATAACCTAACGCCTTGTGCCGTGGACTAGTCTCAACGATCAACGTTGAGGAAACCACGTAAATCTCGTGTTCTATGCTTGATTAGATTATCGGTTTTCTTCTAGTTTGACATGGTATCAGAGCCTCTCTGACTTTTGTGCTGCTGTCGACTGTTTTGGTGCGCTGTGATTTTTTGGGTCTTGCTCGGTACGCGGGTGTTGCTGCGCCGAGGGTTTTGTGCGGCGGTGTGGTGCTTCTCAGCTACGGTGATCTTTTCTTTCGGTGGGTGTCTCTAGTTTTGTATTGGCTGTTCTTGGCTGCTGTTCTTGGCTGTTCGTTCTTGGTTATTGGGGTTCTGCTGCTTCTGGTGCTTGTCTCTTAGTGGCTGTTGGTTCTCGGTTGTTGGGGGAGAGCAGCATCCCTCTCGTTGGTTATTTCTAGATCGTGGTTAATTGTTGGGAGTCTACCTCATCAGTATGGAGGGTTCGAAGGTGGATACTGTTTCCGTTCGATTTAACGGCAAGAACTTCCCCCTGTGGGAGCTTCAATTTCGTATGTTTGTGCAAGGGAAAGGTTTGCTTCCCATTCTTGATGGGTCTCTGCCGGCGCCGGATGCGTCTGAGTCGGCCAAGGTTCGGTCTGATTGGGCTATAGCTAATGCCCAGGTTACCTCTTCTCTGCTTAGCTCGGTTGATCCTGGAATTGCACTCAGCTTGCGTAGCTTCCCATCTGCGCACAGTATGTGGCAGCATCTTCATAAGATTCATGCACAGGTGGATGCTTCTCGGAAGTTTGAAATAGAGATTGCTCTAGCTGCGCTGCAACAAGGTGATTTAGATGTCCGCTCTTATTATCAGGAAGCTCTGAACTTGTGGTCGGAGCATGATATGCTCACTTCATCCTTGCTATCCGTTGAAGCCTCGGTGGAAGTCTTGAAGGAGCGTGCTAGTGGTAGACTGATGACCTTTTTAATGCGCCTCAATCCTGCGTTCGAGGGCATTAGAGCCTCGCTCCTTCACCGTAATGTGACCCAAATTGAAGAAGTCTTACCGGAGCTCATTCGTGAGGAAACTCGCCTGCGCAGCCAGGCAAAACTTGATGTCCACACCTCGGACTCGGGCTCTGTTTTTGCTGTTCATTCTGGTCGTCCACAATTCGGTCGTACGCCGTCAGGTTCGATCATTTGTTACCATTGCAAGGAACCTGGTCATATTCAGGTTCGGTGCCCCAAACGCACTATGTGCAATTACTGTAAGGCCACGGGACATGTTATCGGCGACTGCCCGATTCTTGCTCAGAGGGGTCGAGGTCGTGGGCGGCCTGGTGGTGGTTTTTTGTCTATGACAGGTGGCTCTCGCAACCCAGCTGGGCGCCCTTCTTCTGGTCCGGCGTATGCTACTACGCTGGTTGCGTCAGCTGGTTCGGGTGATGGAGGCTCCGGTGCTGCAGGTGTCTCATCGGCTGAGATTCGACGGTTGGTGCGCGAGGCTCTCCAGGAGTCTCTCCCTTCTGCCCTCACTGCTGCGTTCTCGACGGGTACGAATAATCACTCCTCTTCTGTTTGGCATATTGACTCAGCGGCTGTAAATCATATGACGAGCGCTCGCTCTATATTTTCGTCTCTTCGGCCGAGTTCTGGTATTCGTTTACAGGTTGCGGATGGTTCGACTCTTGCTGTGGAGGGGCTGGGGCAAACTCACAGTTCTCGCATATCTCTTCCTAATACATTTCTTGTTCCGAAGCTTGTTCCGAACTTGGTTTCGGTGGGACAATTAACTGAGGATGGGTGTCGGGTCATCTTTGATACTCATGGTTGTGTTGTGCAGGACACGAAGACGGGGGTGGAGAGAGGCCGAGGGAGTAAGCGGGGTCGGATTTTCCTCCTTGATCAGTACCAGCCGCCAACGGGATCTCGTGCTGAATTGGATGTGGATCATGGTGGGACGTGTTTGGGTGATGCCATGCATGCTGATCACGTGACTCAGGGAGGGAATTATGCTCCTGGTTATGATGATTTGTTATCTTCTTCCTTGAACAATTTTGGATATTCGGTTAAGTTGTCGGATTGGGATTTATGGCACTTTCGCCTCGGTCATCCCCATAAAACACGTCTTTTTGATATGTTTAAGAAAAACTGGTTGTCAGGTGCCATTCGTTCTATTCCTGATCATGAGTGTGTGCATTGCGTTCAAGCTAAGATCTCTCAACGATCTTTTTCTTCTAGTTTGACTGAGTATTCTGAACCATTTGATTTGGTGCATACTGATCTCTGGGGTCCGTCTCCTGTAACGGCTCGTCTGGGATTCCGCTATTTCGCTCTCTTTATTGATCACGCTACCAGGTTTACGTGGGTGTATTTTCTTAAACAGAAATCCGATCTGTTCGAGATTGCTAGGGACTTTATTCAGATGGTTTCCACACAGTTTGGCAAGAATATTCGTATCATTCGTTCTGATCCTGGTGGTGAGTTTTCCTCGAATCCCTTGCAGGCCCTATTTCGTGAAAAGGGCATCCTACCTCAGCAGTCATGCCCCGGTGTATCTCAGCAAAATGGCCTTGTCGAGCGGAAAAATCGCCATGTTCTTGAGTTAACGCGAGCTCTCCTGTTCCACTCTCATGTACCACCGGGGTTCTGGGTTGAAGCTGTCCATACTGTTGTTTACCTGATCAACCGTCAGATTACTCCTGTTCTTGGTCAGAGTAGTCCGTATCAGGCCCTCTACTCTCGCACTCCCAACTACGCTTGGCTTCGGGTGTTTGGATGCGTATGCTATGTTCTTCTTCCTCGACGAGAACGCAACAAACTCACTCCCAAGGCTACTCGGTGCGTCTTTCTTGGATATAGCGATAAGCATAAGGGCTATGCAAGCTACGATGTCGATGCTCGCCGTCTTCGCATCTCATGCCATGTGGTTTTTCTCGAGCATGAATTCTATTATGCCTCGAATACCACTTCTGCTCATGCGGACCTGGAATTCCTCATTTCCCTGCCCACTCTTACGTCTACAGCTGTTGCTGCCGACGAGGATAATAATGATGATGCTCCGCCCTCTCCTCATAGTTCGCAGTCCTCGACTTCTCCCATTACCTTCAGCTCCTCAGCCTCCTCGAGTGAGTCTACTAGTAGTTCCTCCGGGTCTTCATCTTCACTTCTCAGTGATTCTCCCACGGCTACTGGTCAGTCGAGTCCTGTCCTTCGGCGGTCTACACGCAGCACTAGGGGCCAGCCTCCGACTCGCCATGCTGATTTTATAACCTACTCTGCTCTTTCTCCTGTGTTTGTTCCAGCCACGTACAAGCAGGCTCGAGGTATTGATCGCTGGGAGACAGCCATGACTACTGAATGCGATGCACTAGATGCGACTCATACATGGGATCTAGTGCCGCGTCCTATTAGCACTCCGGTGATCGGCTGTAAATGGGTCTATGCTCTAAAGGAGAATCCGAATGGGTCTATTGAACGAAGTAAAGCTCGTCTTGTTGCTCAGGGGTTCAAACAACAGTATGGGGTGGACTATGATGAAACCTTCGCTCCAGTGGCCAAGATGCAAACTGTCCGAAGTTTATTTGCTGTCGCGGCCATGAAGGGTTGGCCATTGCTGCAATTAGATGTCAAAAACGCCTTTTTGCATGGTGATCTGAAGGAAACCATCTACATTGAGCGTCCTCCTGGCTATACTAAGGGTGACATTTCTATGGTTTGTTTGCTTCGACGCTCCCTTTATGGTCTGAAGCAGGCACCTCGAGCGTGGTTTGAGAAACTTCAGGGCACTGTCTTACGTGCGGGGTTTGTTCAGAGTGACAGTGATCCGTCTCTATTTCTCCGTACGACAGCTCGGGGTCTGACTGTGTTACTTATTTATGTTGATGATATGGTTCTTAGTGGCGATGATCAGGATGGCATAGCTGAGCTTACGGCCATACTACGGGAGGCATTTAATCTCAAGGAGCTTGGGGACTTGTCCTATTTTCTGGGCTTGGAGATTGCTCGTTCTGCCACTGGTATTCATGTGAATCAACGTAAGTATGTTGTGGATCTCCTAGAAGAGGCTCAAATGGATGAGAGTATTCCGTGTGGTACGCCTATGGAACAGAATTTGAAGCTTCGGCAGTCTGAAGGTGAATTACTGGAGAATGTTACCACCTATCGCAGTATCGTCGGCAGTCTTATCTACTTGACCAATACTCGTCCTGATATCGCTTATGCTGTTCAGGTTGTTAGTCAGTATATGGCTGCTCCGCGCACGAGTCATTGGCAGGCTGTTCA